TGTCCTTAATAACCAAAGTTGACAATTTTTGCTATCCTATGTCTCCCGCAGCCCCAATCACCAGACTCCAAATCCAAGCTCGAGGACTATGTGTCCTGAAGACCAAGACCAATTGGACTGGTAAATGGACCACTGGGGAGTCACTGAAGGGTTTCAGCCTGGGCACTGGAGGAGAGGATCTTGACATCATATCTGCATTTACCATGATCCCCTTCGCCGCAGCATGGGAAGGAGGCCAGAGGGCCAGAGTGGGCAGGGGAGGCAGGGGAGGGTCCATTGGGTGGTGCAAACCAGACAGCCACAGCGACTAGGAGCAACACTTCAACCAAGGGTCAAAGAATTCCGGGCCCTGGCAACAGGAAGATCATCTCTCCACATTGTACATGTTTAGTCTTTTCCAATGGAGCAATTTGCTATTTTTGGACTATTTGCTTTTAAAGTCCAGGACTAATCACCTACACACACGTCCCACCTGGAGAGCATGGGCCTGGCACCCAAGCTTCTGGGCCCGACTACACAGGGAGCTTTAATTCTAGGATGGGACATGACCCTGAGAAGTTCTGGCATCTTCTTCATAAAAGCAGAAGGAGTCCCTAAAGCCATCTCTCCCTTTTTCCCAAACAAGGATGAAAAGGAAGGATTTGCAGAGGAAACAAGCAAAACTTAGTTCATTTTAATTATGAAGATTAGAAGAGCTCCAGTTTGTGGTCCAATATGTATGGAGCTTAGAGACCACCACTCCTGTTATCATAACAAGAAAAAAGATGAACAAACTGAAAATCAACAATTTCTCTTAAATCCACCAGAGAATTGAGGTCATAGGGCAAACTATCACCAATCAAACTGGAGAGAGGGCTGAATACAGAGAATCACAGCTGAAGGGAGCAGAGGCCTCTGCTGGAGGCGGGATCTGGGCAGCAAGACTTAAACCTAACTGATGAATTTCTGGAGGCTCAGTGTGGCCCAGCTTGAGAGTTAAACGCCCCAGGGGGCCCAGTCTTATGGGGCCTCCACACTTCCCCAAGTTTTATCTCCAGTAGCCCCACCACATTCTCAGGGTGAAGATCAGAGAAAACTCCTTCACGCTTCCAGCAGGGAGAGAAGAAAAGACCCATTTTGAGACACACCAGCGCAGCCTGTTGTCCTCGAGAAAGCCTTCCCTCGAGGGAAACTGTTGTGCCAGAGCAGCCGCCTTGGCTCCGATCAGAGCATCACTGGCCTGGGGGAAGGAAATACCCTAATCTAGGTGCTCCAGCCTTCCCTGAGGAAGGGCACTACCCCACTCCAGCTCCCTCGAGCACTCTCTCACCTAACGGGAAAAAGTCTGAGAAGCACTTGTAAAGGTCAAACCTCAGGCACCAGGCTCACGAAAAGCCTGAGATGTGATCAGAGGATACAGAACACTCTGCCTTCCCTACACCTTCCCACAGCATTAACAGGGCTCCTGGATCAAAATGGGATCTCACTGGAAAGAACTTCCAGTCTCAGATCTGACGGAAGAGGAAGTATCAAGGGAAACCCGAAGAGAACAGAGCAGACAAACAACAAAAATGTGCAAAAAATAAAGGGTCCTGGAGGAAATCAGAGCTTCTGACACCTGATCAAGCAGCAAACAGCAAACATGGTGTAACTCCTAGAACATCAAAACCTCACATTAAAGGCCCACTGACCAAGTTGTTCATACCCAATGCATCATGTCCAGCTTTCAGCCAAAACTACAAGGCATACTGAAAGGCAAAAACCACAGTTTGAGGAGATGGAGCAAGCATGAGAAGCAGACGGGGACAAGGCAGAGATTCTGGAATTATTAGACTGGGAATTTAAAACAGGTTTAGTGAATATGCTAAGGGCTCCAGTGGAAAAAGTGGACAACATGCAAGAACTGAGGGCCAGTGTAAGCAGAGACGGGAATTCTAAGAAAGAATTCACAGGAAATGGTAGAAATAAAACATACTGTAACAGAAAGGGAAAATGCTTCTGATGAGCTCATGAACAGACTGGACTTGACCGAGCAAAGAATCAGTGAGCTTGAGGAAATGTCAACAGAAACTTCTCAAACTAAAAACAAGAGAAAAAAGGTTGAAGAACATAGAAAAAATATCCATGGAAGGTGGGACAATTACAAAAGGTGTAAGATCTGTGTAAAGGGAATACAAGAGGGAGGCAGGGCGAGAGGAAGGAGCAAAGCAAGAAGCAGAAGAAATATGTGAAGCAATAATGGACAGAAGCTTTCATTTAACGTACGTCCCACCACAGGTCCAGGAATCTCAGAGAACACCAAGCAGGATAAATACCAAGTGAGCAACCCCTTTGTAAATCATCTGACCCTCAGACAATCAAAGACAAAGAGAAAACCTTGAAAGAAGGTGGAGGGAAAGAAATCTTACCTGTAGAGAAACTAGTATATGAGTTATATCAAATTTCTCTTCAGAAACCACACAGGCAAGAAGAGAGTGGAGTGAAATATTCAATGTGTTGAAAGAAAAAGTACCCAGCAATGGAGGATTTTTACCCATCAAATTTCTCTTTCAAAATGATGAGAAATAGGGCCAGCCCGGTGGCATAGTGGTTAAGTTCGTGCACTCCACTTGGGTGACCTGGGGTTTGCAGGTTCAGATCCTGGGTGTGGACCTACACAGCACTCATCAAGCCATGGTGTGGCGGCATCCCACATACAAAGTGGAGGAAGGCTGGCATAGCTGTTAGCTCATGGACAAGGTTCCTCAGGCAAAAAGAGGACGATCGGCAACAGATGTTAGCTCAGAGCCAATCTTCACACACACAAAATGTATAAGCCAAAAAAAGAAAGAACAAGGACAATAGATAGGAAACAGTTACAAATATGATGGATATTAACCCAACTATATCAATAATCATTTTAAATAGGAAAGTTCTAAATGCAGCCATTAAAACACAGAGACCATCAGAACGCATTAGAAAAGAAGACCCAACTATATACTGTCTGTATGAAACCCATTTTCGTCATAAAGATGCAGATGGGTTAGAAGTAAAGGGACAGAACAAGATAAGAGACCAGAGTCACATCCCGGGAGGTGCCAGGAAGACCTACACGAAGCACCCATGAAGGCAGAGTAGAGGCCAGACTGTTGGGGAGAGAGAGCGATGAGCCCCCAGGAGGCATGTGTCACACCCATGGCGTCCCTGGTGTAGACGTCTGAGCACAGGGATCACTGTGTCCACCGTGTACTTTGGGCACACCAGCACACACAGGCAGGGTAACCGCTCACCCTCTATCACCCACGAGTGTGACCTGCAGTGACCAGGGGACCTCTTCTCCCCGCACCCAACTGGGGCCTCAGGTGCCACCTGACAGAGCACAAAGCCTGTGTGCCTCTGTGTGAGTGTGTGAGTCTGAGGAAGCGTTCTTAAGGCCACGGTGAGTCATCCCGCTGGCCCCATCACACAATCCAGAATTAGCTCGGTGCCTGTGTGTGACAAGGGTGACAGGAGCAGGTACAGGGGCATGTTTCTGCCCAAAGGCAGTCACATGCTCTAGATTGTAAACCGAGGCTCCTTGGGCCCTGTGGGGCTGGAGCCCTGGGTGCTCTGCTGTCTGGAGGGGATACTGGGTGTTTCTCCTCGGCTTCTGGGCCGTTGCTAAGGTCCAGTGGGGGTCAGGGCCTGCAGCGGGCAGCAGGGCCAGACACCTCACCTGGGGCAGGAGTCAGGTGCCCCAGCACAGGCCAGCACCTGGGGAACGACCTTGAGCACAACTGAGAGTGTGGTGATAAAGTCCATCTTCAGCCGTTCCAGAGTGGTCAGGCAGACAGGCCAGGACGCACAGCCTCCTCTGCACGGCCTCAGGGAGCAGCAGCCAGCCTGTGGGGTCATGCCAGTGCCAGAAGGGCTTGCCTGGTGTGGGTGCAACAGAGACCAGCAGTCAGGGTCCCAGCGTCAGAGAATCCAGCAATAGGGTGGGGGTCCAGGGCATCAGCAGAGGCACAATCTGTCTCCCCTCCTAGGGGGTCTGACCCAGATGGGTTAAATGCCCCCTTGCTGGTCTGAGAGGAAGCCAACAAGCTGTGCAGAGGGGCCTCCACCAAGGTGGGCCGTCCCCTCCCCTGCTCACTGCTCTCCCCGAATCCCCCTGCCCAAACCCTGGGCGCCTTCTCTCCCTCCATCAGCGCTGGCCTGAAGAACGCGAGAAAGGATTTCTCAGCGAGAAGCCGAAACGCTCATTAGACTCAGGGTTTCCTCCGGGAGAATTTGTTTGCTTTTTTTTTCCTCCCCAGGGAATTTAACGGGGAGCAGCACAGAGAGAAGCCGGGTCCAGGGGGCACCCTCGTCTGGCTGGCGGGGAGTGGGTGGGGGAGGGGCTCCCTGAGGCCCGGACACTCTCCAAGTGCGCACCACTCCACCCGCTGAGGGGGACGGCAGCGCTGGAGGAGGGTCTTCCATTCTGAGGGTCACATCCCCGGCCCCCACCTGAGGCATCGCATCCCTAGAGAGACCCCAGGGGTTCTAGTCGTTTTTGGGAGAAGGCCAGAGGTTCCTCCATTAATGCAGGGTACGCAGCATCCTCTAGGATCCTTCGTGTAGAGCCGGCCCCAGACCACCCCTCACCCCGGCCCCGCGAGCCCGCTTCGGGCAGACCCCGGCCCCCAGCCCCGAAGCCGATTGCCTGAACCCTGGGGTCGAAGGGTGGGGACCCGACGCGACTAACGGACAGCGGCCCGCCGGCCCAGGAAGGCCGAGGGCGGCGGGGACCTGGATAGGGACGCGGTGGGTGGCGAGCAGGGGTCCCCGGGTGGCGCCCGCACGCTCGGAGCCCGAGCAGCCCCTCGAGTCAGCCGCCCCTGGCGAACCCCGCTCGTCCCAGCAGCTCGTCCGCCCACCGCGGACTCACTGGGCTCGAGGCGCGGCGTCCCAGCGCCGGGGTCCTCGGGGCGGGGTGGGGCGCAGGGGAGGGGGAGCGAGGGGCGGGGCCACCGTCGCGGCAGGCGGGGCCTGCGACCTGCGGACGTCAACTGACCCGTCCTCGTTTATTGAAAGAACTGTCTCCCCCACCGCCCTGTGGAGCCCCCTTTGTCACAAAGCACGTGTGTGTGCGCGTGTGCGTGTGTGCGCGCGCGTTCAGGCGTCTTCATTGGGTCCAGAGGGCAGTTTGGTTCGTTGTGCCCGTGTCACATCGTCTGAATTCCTTTAGTTTTATGTAGGTCTCCATATCAGTAAAAGACGTTCCTGACTTTTGTCCCCTGCAAGACTATCTGAGCTGTCCTTGGCCTTGGGCGTTTGCACATACTCTGGAATCCGTCTTCGGGTCCCTCAGGCAACAACAAAGAAACACCTGTCGGGTTTGGGTCGCAATGGCACTTGGTCTACGGATGGATTTGCGGAGACGCTGCCTTTACAATAAAGGGTCTTCCCATCGCCCCGCCTCACACCACACACGTCTCCCCCGCTTGGGTTGTAGATCTACCTGTGAAAGACAGATCAGCAAAGCTGCTGGGAGCCGATAGTGGACACAGTCTTCACCACCTTGGGCTGGAGGAAGGTTTCTTAAACAAGGCAAAAGGCGCCGTCCGTAAAGGAAAACTGATAGATTTCACTGCGCTGAAACCATGAGAACTTCTCTTTGCTGGAAGACGCCATCAGAGAGTGAAGAGTCGAGCCGCAGAGTGGGAGCAGATGTTTCCCAAACACAGAACTACGGGCTCCTACCCAGAATTTGCAAAGAACTTGTACATCGAGTCAAAGACAGACAACCACCAAATGGTCAAGAAACTGGGACAGACGTTAACAAAAGACGAAGTTCAGAGAGCCAATAAAGTCCTCAAAAGGGGCTCAGCCTAATTAGAAATCCTGGGCACGCCTGTTTACACCGCAGGGAGACACCAATGCACTAACATCACAAACACCGACCATCCCAAGCGCTCGTGAGAATGTGGAGCAGCTGGAAATGGAAGATGCTGCTGGCGGGAGTGTAAATTGGTACAAACGCCTGGAGAACCTGTGTGGCGTTATCTACTAAAGCTGAATGGACACCCACCCCACGAGCAGCATTTCCACTCCTAGGAACCCATCCAACAGCAATGAAAGCTGAGGTCACCCAAAGATCACCCATTCCTAACCTTTCTTTACAGATGAAACCCCTGAGACGGGAGAGGGTGAGTCGTCAGGTCGTGGCGCGCGTGGGAGGCAGAACTGAGGGTCTGAGGAGCATCTGTGTGAGGCGGCCCCCTCTGGGTGAGGCGCTGTATGGGGCCTCGCTCCAAAGCTCTTCCCACAGAACCTGTAGCAACCATCACTTCCTTCCAGAGGATGGTTGACAGTCATATGGGGGCCTGCTAAAACTGGGACGCAGATCCCAGGGGCAGCGGGACACGTCCTGATGTGGCTTCACCCCTTTCTCTCCCCCTCCCAAGGCATACTTATATCATCACGAAAGAGATCGAGAAAAATAATGTCATAAACTCATCCACTTCTAATTTATATTTTTACATAAAAAATCTGATGCCTAACACAAATATGCATATATTTTCACAGAACTACACGTACTAGAATGCGCTGTTTGTAACAGCCCCAATCTGGAGACGACTCACATGTCCCTCACTGGAAGAACGGATCAATAGTGCTGTATTCACCCAATGGAAAACCATTCACATGAGAACAAATGAACTCCTGCGTCCATGACCACACGGATGGATGTCACATACATGATGTCAACAAAGAAGCCAGACGCAGACATGCAGCGCTGTCTGCTGCCGTTTACATCAAGTTCAAAACTGCAAAACAAACCGGGCTGCTGAAGCCAGGAGAGTGGTTACACTTGGTGGGAGGCTGCTGCTGGCGGGGGTCTGGTGGGGGGTGGGGGCTGGTAATGCTCCTTTTGTTGGTCTGGGTGATGGTTCTGTGGGTGTGTTCTTTGTGAAATGCATAAGCTGTGCTTCTTATTTTTACACTTGTGGACATATATTAAACTCACATTAAAGTGTTTTTTAATGTAAAAATTGGCAACTTCCAGTATTTCAACCTTTATCAGTTAGCGATGCCTATGCGCCATCAGGGATCAAGCCACATAATAAAGGGGGTCAGTGTAGGCCTCTTAATCAGCATCCTCTCCTAAGCCTTGACCTTGCACACACCAGCTGAAACCAGCTTCCACTTCAGGCTCCCTGAGAGGGAGATCGTCTCCATAGGACCCGGCCCCAAGGAGACGAGCGCCATTACTCAGGACATCCGATCCAGAGAACAGGTGAACCTCCCAAATTACCCGATTTAGCAGTTTCCTGGGATCAAATGACCCAGGTAATGGTCACACTGCCAGTGACACCACACCCCAGCCAAAATCCCCACAGGGTGGGCCCTTCCCCTGGGGCCATATTTATGGGCAGAGAGGACAGGGGCCTGGGCCACCCCTGGGTCTCATTTCTGCATGAGGAGCTGTGGGAGCTTTTTAAGAGTCTGCAGAAGCCACAGAAAAGTAAGACCACTCTGGACCCCAAGGGGGCTCCAGGCAGGCCCCCGCTCAGTGCTGCCCTGGGGTTCTCCCACGGCCTCCCAAGGACACAGGTCTGAGCCATTGACTGCGGATTGTCTCATTTAATCTCAAAGCCCTGGAAGGAGGTAACATCATTACTCCCATTTTGCAGGGAAGGAAACTGAGGCACAGAGGCGTTCAATGAGTCACCCAAGTATGAACACCAGAAAGGGGTGGAGTCACTATTTTTGAACTGATTCTTTCACAGCTGTGCCCGCTCCCATCACTCCTTCCCGCAGGAGCACTGCTCCCGTCTCTTACGCTGGCTGCCCCTGCCTCAGGCTCCTGCTGAACTTCACTCTGCAGGATGCTCAGCAAGGTCACGTCCTCCACAAGCAGGCACCGAGGCGGAGCTAGAAGTGTGCAGGATTTATTGGAGGAAACCTCTGTGGAGGTGAAAGAGGGAGGGAGCAGGACTGAGCGGGCGGAGCCTTCAGACTGAGCAGGTTGACACCTGGGAAAGGAGAGGGGGAGGGGAGGAGGACATGCAGGAAGAGGCTCAGGGCACAGCACAGCTCCGAGAATGAGAATGGCTCAGCAGCCCAACAGGAGCCCCAGCGCAAAGCCCGTCTGCTGGCGGAGTCCCAGTGATGCGGGGTCGGTCAGCTGAGGAGTCAAAGAAAGATTTCTTGGACTCTCAAGATCTGGCAATAGTGCTCTTTTATTTAGAGAATATTGTGAAATAGCACGGGGACAGGGCCCATGGGCAGTCAGGCTGCTGTGTGGGGACAGGGCCCATGGGCAGGAGGAGCTGCTGCTGCCCCGAGTTGAGGGTTAGGGCTGATTTTATAAGGCATGGGTATGTGAGTCATCTCTTTACAAGACAAAGGAAAGAACATGAAAAAAAGTTAAAATGGTATCAGTGCAGGTGGGGTCTGGTCATTGGGTGATCCCATGACTTTTAGACAAGAATCAAATCGGAGTAAGTAAAGGTCAGAAGCCACCACCCTAAATCAGTTACATGAGATTGCCAGACAGTAACCAATTTAAGTTCTTGCCTCTGGCATTAAGAGTTTCTAGAGATAAGGCCATCCCCCTTCTTCCTTGCACAGAGAGGGAGACATCTTTACAGATAGAGGATTCCCTTAGAAATGTAAATGTTTCCCAACAAAGGGGCAAGCAAATTCCACTGCTCGGAGCCTGCCTCTCATCTGTAGTTTTAAAATTAACCAGCCTAAAAATTCTCATCACCAGGTTGGGTAGGGATAGCCCAGGCTGCCAGCGTTTAGTAGACCGTGGGGTAGTCAGAAGCAGAGTGAGCATCAGTTTATTTGGGACAGTGGTTGTGAGCGGGCGAGCAGAGAGTCTCTTAAGAGCATCAGTGTAACTATTTATTGGATGGCTGTCTTCCCCTCTGATGGTAGCCCCACAAGGGCGGGAACCACCCTATTCAGAGGGCGTCTGGAATGTAGTAGTAGATGCTCAGTTAATGTTTGTGGACTGACCAGTTCCTGAGCAGCCCCTCTGTGTTTGTTGATCACCACACATTTCCTGAAGATGTTCCATGCAGTGCATTTGAGTGCCAAGGATGAGGGATTAGACGCTGGATCTGGTTTAAGTTTTAGACCCAGCTCTTCCAATCTGTGTGACCTTGGGCAGCTCATCTCACCTCTTGGAGCTTCTGTTTACTCATCTGTGGAACGGGGACACTGCTATCTCCCCACTAGATCTTATCCATCTCTTTCCAAGATCGAGTGAGATGCTGCTGTCACAGCATGTTTATTATTATCATTATAAGAACAGCAGATTCTGTGCAGATGATTACTTTCAGTGTTTGTGATGATTCAGAGAAACTACAGGCCCCAGCCTCCAAGACACGGATGTCATCTCGAAGTATACCATTACTTCCGTGGAAAACTCGTATTTAACACACACTGACACACCCTTGTCAAGAGGACCAGGACCCATCAGGGACTGTCCTACCTCACCATTTGCTGTGTGCTCAGTCATCGGGGCCCCGAGCCTGCCCTTGAAGCCGGATCCACATCTTATCTGTTGGGCTGTTGCCAGCACTTAGCAAGGGGCTTACACATCACAGGCACTCAATAAATGCACTTCCTGATCCCAGACCAGAGACCCGGCCACGTGACCACATGCCACAGGCGTTAGTTGACTTACTCCCCACAGCGGTGGCCCCCACGTGGGCAGCACTGTTCCCATCCTCCGAAGGGAGAAGCTGAGGCCCCTTGAGGCGGAGCAGCTCTCCTGAACTTGCAGAGCTTGCAGGCTTCAGGCCTGGGTCGTCCTGGCTCCACACTGGGGTTTTCCCCTGGGACGCGGGGCTGTGGCCCTGGCAAACAGGGCAGTCGGGACGCAGTCTACAATGCAGGATGATGCCCTCTTGCTCCCTGGGGCTCCAGCCTGGCCTCCAGGGAAATGCTCTTGGATCCAGCCTCTTCTGGCATGTTCTGATTTAGACCCAGAGTCTCCAGGAGGAGAGTGAGCCATGGGCTTGTGGGCCAGAGGACTCTCACCTTGGAGGTCAGCAGGAGTCAGGCTGACCTGCTTTCAGAGCTGCCCCAAGAAGCTTGGGTCCCTTGATGTCATGTTCGCCCGTGTCCTCCCTGTTCAAGCTTCTTCCGTGCACACGCGCTCTGGAGCAACAGGGCGTTCATAGCAGCAGCGGCACTTGCTGCTCCTCCTCTGTGCAGGTCGGGGTCACTGGTCTGCCACCATCACCTCCATTTTGGCCTTGCAGCCTCACAACTGCCATGCGAGGCGGGTATTCCTACCCCCGTATTCCAGATGAGGAAACCGAGGCTCAGGGAAACACGTAACCTGCCCCGTGTCCCAGAGCTGGGCAGTGGCACAGCTGAGACCTGGGTGCAGCCTGGTCAAGGTCTAAGCATGAGCCGGGAGAAAGGACACTGGCAGCCTGAGCGGAGCTTGGTGTTCTGCCGCCCACCTCTGAGCAGCAGGTCCTTAACGACATGCTGGGACAGCCTCGTCTTTGGCACCAGCTCGTGCATCCCCAAGACCCGGCCACAGCAATGTCACAGAACACACCCAGCTCCGACTCCACCACGCCCCGCTTACAACCTCCAGCGGCTTCCTGTTTCCCACAGCCCGAGCCCAGACGCCCTCAATCGGGGCTCAAGGCCTCCCGCAGTCTGGCCCCCAGGGCGCCTGCTGCTCCTTTCCCTCTGCTCCCGGCCTCCCCGACAGCAGACTCTTCATTCCTCTGCACGGGCTGGGCTCCTTTCTTTGCCTCCTTGCCTCTGTATGTGCTATTTCTCCTCCATGGAATGTTCTCTCCCTCCTTCCACTTCTCCATCCAACAAACTCCCACTCAGCTTTCAGTTTCAAATGCTGCCTTCCCTTGGGATGCCCTCCTTTCTCGAACGCGTGGCCTCACGAACGTAGCTGGGTCAGGGAGAGTAGAGGGAAACCCGTCTGGCCAATGGAGTCTCACTGTTCCGATCATGCCTGTTGACATAATCAGAGAAGGCAATTCCATGTCTTCAGTGCAGCTCAGAGAGATACCTTCCAAGAACCGTTTACGGAAGCTGGAAACCCTCTCCCCACATTTATTGATCTACTTGCCCAGAAGAGCATCCCCATCTGTGAGACCTGCTCCCCCCCCACTCCAACCTTGTGTGTCTGGGGGAAGCCTTCCTGAACACGGAGGGGCATCCTCGAGTCTAGCCAGGCCAGTCTTAGAGTCACAGTGTGACCTAAGCCATGTGACCTGGTCTTAGCAAAGTTAAGAAGATTGAAATACCAACTGTCTTTTCTGATCACAATGATATGAAACTAGAAATCGATAGTAGGATGAAGATATGAATAAATGGAAAGATATCCATGTTTATGAATTGGAAGAATTGATATTGTTAAAATGTACATACTACCTAAAGCCAGCTACGTACTTGAAAGTTGCTGAGAGAGTAGATCTTAAGTGTTTTTACCACAAAAAGAAATGGTAATTATGTGAGGTGATGCAGCTGTTGAATAACCCTACTTTGGTAATCATTTTGCAACATTTAAGTGTATAAAATCATCATCTTGTACGCCTTAAACTTACACATTGTTATACGTCAATTTTACCTCAATAAAGCTGGAAAAAAGGAGGTAATGTCTCAAGTCAATAATCTAAGCTCCTACTTCACAAACCTATAAAAAGAAAAGAAATCAAACCAAAACAAGCACAAAGAAGTAAATGCAAAAGGATGAATCAATAAAATTGTAAGTAGAAAAATATAGAAAATCAATCAATCTAAAAGTTCTGAAAGATCAATGAAATTGGCAAACTTCTAGCAAGATGGACAAAGAAAAAGAAGATTGGAGCCACAGATTACGAATATTAGGAATGAAATAGGGGATAGAATACAGGTTATCAGTACAAACCTTGCAGACATCAAAAGGATAAGGGAATAGTAGGTACATCTCCACAAGTGTAAATTTGACAACTTATATGAAATGGACCAATTCCTCAAAAAACACAAACATCCACACTGACTTAATATGAATCAG